TAATTAAAAAGAATTGTTTGTTGGAGCCTTAGTTGATGTGATTAATAATATCAGATCTTACCCAAATTAGCAAAAAATTCATAAATATGTAAATTTGTGTGTGTGTGTGTTGACAAGGATGCTTTGCTCTCATTATTTGATCTATATCCAAGTCTCAGTGGGTCTTGCTGTTAAAAGGTTCTATTTCTGGCAGAAAACTGTTCTTCATGAAACCATGGTGCTCGAGCATCCTGTTAGCAGACGCTGAGTTCTGACAGAACTGTGGGCTCTGGTCCCGGCTTATGACCTTTGACGTGCATCATACCATGGAACACACACACACATATGCACACACACCTAGCAAGCTAAGGCAGGAATTGGATCCATGTATGACAGAAAGGATGGATAAGAGCCATCCAAAATGTATACTCAAGATAGGGATGGAGGAAGAGAGTTAGAGGAGGGATGTGATGTGAGAGATGCAGATAGGAAGGAGAAATAAAGATGGGTGAATGAGAACAAGATGGAGGGTTGCAACAGAGAACTGAGAGAAGGAGGGCAGGAGACAGAGTGTGCAGTGCACTTGTTTTTTGCTGATACAGATCAGATTTCATAAAGATCCACATGATTGCCTCATAACAAGGGGGACGCAGAGAGGAATGAGAAGGAGAGATGAGGCGGAGGCAAGTAGAGACACGATGAAATTAATAAATAGATGCTCGCCCTCCCCGCAGCTGCTTTCTTAGTTTTGCCGGTTTGTCTTTTTTTCCAACGGGCTTAATATGATTATCCTAACTATAATTTGGGGGGGGGGGACCCAAGGACAATAATAATGATGGAAAGAGGAGTTCCCGCTCGTGAGTCTCTGATTGGATGAAGAGTCCCGTGTTGGATGGTGTTGTGTTGCACTGGTGTTGGCTTATTTCACTGTCCACATTACTCTGACAGTCCCCAGGGTTCACCTCCTCTACCGGCTTCTCTGTTTTCCTGATTGACGGTGAAAACCATAGCCTCATCACTCCTTATACTGAAGACTGGCAGGGGGCCAAGCCCAAGGTGCCGCTGAGCCTGTGACCTACTCTGTCTATACTAACTCGCTGAATGACTGTCAGACTGAATGCCTGACTTAAGCCGCGTTTTCACCCAAAGTACCCCCAACTTTTAGTCACAGGAACTACTTTTAAAAGAACTTCCTTCAGCCTGTTGTTGTCTGTGGTTTCCCCCACGGTCTAAAGACCCGTAAAGATTAGGCAAATTAGTCAGCTGACATGAGAAAGCGACGGCTGTTTTTACACGTCATTTTTAAGGGCAACTATACAACAACAACGACAATAGTCCATCTGTCGTATGCTTCCTCCCCTCAGTGTTACTGTACTTTTTACTACTACTACTTTTTTACTACTTTTATACTAACTTAACTTCATTTAAACCCTGTTCCCTGTTGTGGACTGAGTTTCTCCAAAGGTTCCTGGTCCATGGGGAGTCCTGGGAAAAATTCCTGCGGAGGAAACGTGGCTTTAGAGACAGAATGAGAAATACTGAAGGCAGGCGGAGTAGAACACTTAAAAGCAAAGAGCAGTGCAATTTTAAATAAAAATGTTACGATAGATCAGAGATCTTGGTAAAACTATCAGTATTTGAAAGAAAATTATATCTCAGTTGTTTAAATTAAAACGATGTGTTAGCTTGGCAATAAAGAGTAACTTAAAGTTGGAGTCTGCGATTCTGGAGTAAGATTGTTGACATTTGAACTGTTGTGGAGTTCAGCAGTCCTGTGCACGAGCATGAACCCCCCTGTTGCTAATTGGCTGGTATAGTGTTGCGAGCTACTTTGTCTTCCCTTTACAGCGCCACGGCTGTGTGAGGACACTGGATTTTGTTTTCAGTGCACACGCAGACCGAGAAGAGATATCTATTCGCTGAATTTGACAAAAAGTGTATTGTATTAGAATAGCTGACTTCACATTTAACAGCAGGTGGGAAAACAGTGTTTCACTGCCCCATCTGGCTGAATATTTCAAGGCTGCCCCACCTCTTATTGCGGGGTGTGGTCAGAAGTGTGCTATATTGGGCCTGTAGTGATGTCACAGTGCCCCCAAGTACACATGTACATCAGTGCAGCAAGATGATAAGTTAAACCACTGGAGGGTCTTTTTTTGTTATTTTGGCCCTAATTCACTAGAGACAAATCTCTCCTCCCAACATCATTTTCAGTAGACGTGTAAGCAGTTAATATTTTCGATGATAGCAATTTTTCTGTTGATATTTTATTCATGTGGCTAGATAGTTAGCTGTTGAGGAAAGGTCCTTGTAAACAGTGCTGGGGTGTGAGTTGATTTTAGTGTAGTTGGTACACTTGTTGTTGCAGATCACATACCTTTTCCCTTTACATAATCATTACAAAAAGAACAGCTGTAAAATTCTGAAGATATTTTTCACAAACATTCCAAATTCGATCCATTCAGTAACAGCAAAATTTGAAAATTGTAGAGGAGCTGCATCAGAAAACTATTTTATGTCATTAATGTGGGGAGCCTGCAGGAGTTGAGCAGAGGAAGTCTCTAACACACGAGCTCCCTGTTTGGGAGAGGATTCTGGAGGAAGCAGTCATCAGATCAGCGAAGTAGGCAGTGATTAAAAGGTTTGGAACCAGGTTACTGTAATTCTGACTATACCGATGTGGTCTGACATGTTCTCTGATGTAGCCATACCAACACACCAAGTACATTTCTATATCCCTTTATAAAGGACTTTAAACACTGGAGGCTAGCAAAATGATTCTGGTTTTCAGACCTGAATCATTGCCCACATCTTAATAAATCAAATGCTGAATAATTATTAATGAATAATGAAGTGTCAGGTCAGTCTATTTATCAGGCTACGGCAAAATTAGATGTTAACAGGGTTAAGTTACTGTTTTAGCAGAGTTTCTTTTTAAACTAAAAGTGAAAGCACAGCAGTGAGTCAGCGCTTTGCAATAAGTGGAGCAATTCTACACTTTAGGTTCAGTGACTCATACTACTGTAGCTAAAGTGTAAAGTGACTAGCCCAATAACTTATAGCTTAAAATGTGGTTAATTAAGAAGTATTACGACAATTAGTGAAGTTATTACACAAGCACAATTTAGCATACAGTTACCACACACTCACAATGACTACAGCTTAACATATTTAAATTACCTTTTAAGTAATTACTGTCCACTTGAAATTCATCGTCAATGCTATTTGATAGAGTAGTATTAGTATACAGTATTTGGATTGTATAGTGGAACTCTTGTTGAAATAGTGTTGCAGTATTCAGTTGTACTACATTGGCAATGGTTTGAGCAGTTCTAAAAAAAATGCTAAATATAGACCTTAAAAGGAATCTTTTGATCACATAATGCACATAAACTTTCTTCACAGTAACTCATAGACCATAGGGTGTGTGCGAGTGTGTGTTGTTTATGAGCTGGTGTGCGAATCAATCTCCCATGGCCACAGACTTACAGAGACATTTGACTCCACAGCAGAAGTGAAAAGATCTTTTTGTATTTTCAGCTCTCAGAGTACTAAAAACTGTCAGCTCAAGCCAAACCACAGTCCTCATGAATCCACCTTTACATGCTTAAAGGGAATTTTTACCCTAAGGTTTAAAGGAAAAAAGCTTGCGGCTGGGCCTCCCACTTCACTCTTTGTGCCCCAGACCTCCAACCCAGCCACAACCCTTTACACAACCTTTCTCTGACTGCATTTATAATGCATTAAGGCATTATGTAATGACCACAAATCCAAGACAGCTACAATAGTGCGGCAGCTGTCAAAGCACCAGGATGCCAATTACCACGTATGGCCATGTGCCATCAGTAGGGCTTCTTTTTGACTTTCACCTTGTTATGTGCCTATATAGAGCAGAAAGAGAACAAGAAAGAAGATAGGATAAGCTAAGACATAAAGGAAATGACAACAGCAGGAGAAACAAGAGGAGAATGGTGGGAGGATCTTAATGAGGGAACATGTTGTGTAATGAGAGGAAATGTAAGAGAAAGCAAAAAGGGAAGAGGCACACAGAAAAGACATGAGGGAAGATACAAAATCAGGGCCAACCATAATTTATTGAAGAAGTCCAGAGTTTATCCCGTCTGTCACATTTATTTCCCACACATTTGTTTATGGGTAAATTATGTTTTCCAATAAATGCCCATGCAGAGGAACAGGGACGCTTAAATCCTTCCTCAATGAGATATTTTACATCATTCACAATTATTCTTTCGTTCAATCATTTTCCATAGACCATTTCTCCTATTCAGAGCTGGCTGGAGGCTATCCCAGCATGCATTGGATGAGGGGAAGGGAAGGCAGCCAGTCCATCACATAAACAGACCAACACACTCGTGTTCATATTCACACCCATAGGCAATCTAGAGTTTTTAGTTCATGTTAGTTGCATCTATTTGGGCAGTGAAAAAGTGGAGCATCCAACGGAAATCCAGGGGGATGCAGGGAGAGGATGCACACACCACAACCAAGTTACTGTATCTTTTTAATCATCTACAATAACCCTGTCAGTTAAAGCTTTTTTTTTTATCAAAGGGAATTTTGAGGAATATGCTTATTTGCTTTCTTGTCTTGAGTTTGATTAGAAGATTGATATCATTCTCATGTCTGTACGGTAAATGTGAAGCTACTAAGCTACTACTGTATGCTAAGCAAACAATCTGAATACAGGAGGAAACAGTTAGCCTTCCTACATTAAAAGGCAACAAAATCTGCCAACTAGCACCTCTAAAGCTCACAAATTAAGACTTTATATTCTGTTTGTTTAATTGTTTAATCTGTACAAAGATCCAAGTGTAAAAACAACAAGTTGAGGTTTTATGGGGGAGTTATGCAGTGGACTATTTCTTGGCTGTGTGCAGTCATATGAGAGTGTTTTTTCACTTGAAAGTGAATAAGCATATTTCCCAATATGTCAAACTATTTCTGTCCTTTATATACTAAAAGATGTCATTGTTTTGTTTTTCTTTTTTGTTCTTTCACAGGTTCAAGAGTGGCTATGTCTGAACTGTCAGATGCAGAGAGCATTGGGGATGGACATGACCACACCACGCTCCAAGAGTCAGCAACAGATACACTCTCCTTCTCATACAGCCAAACCAGAACTTAAACCTGATGCTCCGACTCAGCCTGCACCCCAGACACAGACCCCTCCTCAGACGCAGCCTCCAGCACAGGCCCCTCCAGCACCTGGCCCTACCAAACAGACTGGTCCAGCTGGCCCAGGTCAGCAGCAAGTAAAGCTCCCTCCAGGGGCAGTCCCTCTCCCGGGCATGGCCAAGGCCCCTTCCCAGCCTGATCTATCCCGCAGCTCTCCGGCTCACCAACCTAACCACCCACGCCAGGACCAGACTCGCAGTGCGGGGAGCTCCCCTTCACGACAGCCCCCGCCACCGGAGCAGACTTTTGGAAAGTTGTTTGGCTTTGGTGCTTCTCTTCTTAACCAAGCCAGTACTCTCATATCTGAGACTACTCAACCCCAACAGCCGCCCCCAAAACCAGCCCCCAAACCAGGAGGACCTCCTGGTCCGGGGCTTGTGGCAGGTAAACCCTCAGGACCTCAGCCTGCGCAACAAGGGCCACGAGCCCCTGCTCAGCAGCAACAACAACAACAGCACGCTCCCCCGGACTCCTCTAAACCTAAAGCTTGTTGTCCTCTCTGCAAGACAAACCTCAACATTGGCAACACAGCAGAACAACCCAACTACAACACCTGCACACAGTGCCACCAACAAGTGTGCAACATGTGTGGATTCAACCCCACTCCCCATCTAGTCGAGGTAAGACTCTGATTTGATTTCATCTGTTTGGCTGTAACAAAGTGTCAACTGGTCTGCAATGGCTTTCAGACCATGGATGAATGAAATGAAATGGTTTATTGATGCGTTTCTGTGAAAAATGCTGTGTCATAGTGCAGTCGAATGGGTTGTGTTGTTATCCATGTGTGACTGTCTGGTTTTTGAGTGAAAAGCTGCATTTTACAGAGGATTCCTGTGTGCATGAATGAAGTATTTGGCTTCAGGTGCTGTCAAATGGCCAACAACTGCGTCTTTTTGCTCTGTCACCGAGGTACTTCACGATCCTCTTTTTGTATGTCTGTGCTGGTTTTGTTGTTTCTAAGTGTTTTTTAAGAATGGTTCAATATTGTTCACTCATTCTTTAACACAGAGGGATCAACAAATTACTAAAGAATATTTAATGTAAAGGACTCAAAAGTAAAAAAAGGGACATTTCTGCACAGGAATGGGTGATATTTCTATTTATGGTTGCAAGCTCTGTATGCAGCTTGTACACAAATGCTTAATGTAAGCCTGTGAGCTTCTTCTCTGTTCTCCTGCCTTTCTCTCTGTCTGTGTTTCTCAGTCCAGACCTGCTCAGTTCTGCTCTGTCAGGGCGGCAGAGTGAAGTCCAGGCTGTGACTCACCTCATCAGTGAGCTCTCTGCCCTGGAGCTGCACAGAAGTATATGAGCAATCTACAGGAAACGAAGCCTTATCAAGTTCAATTTAATGGATAATCGTAGTATTGATTAGTCACATCTCGGGGTCAGCTGAGGGTATATTCCTCCCTTAAGTGCCCCCTTGTCCTGGTAAGAGGGTAAGAGGACTTGGTAAGAGGACTTGCAGTGGCTTCCAGAGCCAGGCAATAACAGAGTTTAATTATGCAAATCAAGTCCAATTGAATGATAGCAGTAATAACAGGCTTTCTGCGGAGTGCTGGCTTTTTATGGGAGAGCCTTGTCTTCCCAGGCATCTGGTTGTCACAGGCACTAGCACAGGCCATTCATAGATCGCTATGGAAACAGAGAGATAATTTGTTTGTCAGGCGTCTCTTTCATGCTTGGCTGCTAAGATGCTGAGAGTCTACAAAAACTTTCAGACCGCTGTTGCTCCGTTTTCATGAGAGACTGTTATTAGGTGTGTTGTGTTTCTGCTCTGCTGCGGCTGCAGTGCACAACTCAGTCCAGCATAAGGTGCATTCTTTCCAAACCTGTGAACAGTTTTTGTTGTCATTCCATGTGAGCTGGCAGGTTGGTAGCTCCAGAGTGGGTGAGAAACATTTGGACATGGTGTGAGGCTTTGTACTTTGAATCTAGACTTCTCAGCTTGATTTCCACAGTCTGTTTGGCACATTCTTCCTCCTCATCCTCTCCTAATCTCTTCAAACTTTTTTGTTTCTCAATTTCTATGTTGTCTGTCTTTTCCTGCATGTTGAAGATCACCACTCCCTGCTTTTATGAGGGTGTGGTTACAAAGCCTGTAGCTGCATTATTTCCTCATGTCACTGGTCTGGTCTGATTGAGTATAAAATACAATTATAGACTAGCTAGCTTTGCCAATTTTGACAATGGGAATGGCCATAACCAAATATGCAATTACGAATAGGAAAAACAATTCTTGCCTGCATCTCACAATTCACAAAAACAGAAAGAAACCTTTATCTCAACTTATTGAAAAAACTATATCTGTAGTCATGTTAAAGTGTTTTGTTACAGAGGTGGGTTGGTCTTAGATTATGTTTCAGCAGCACAGATGCTACTGAATGACACACAGAAATATTATAGGAATACTACAGGTAGCCATGTGTCTCCATCTCTATCCACTATCCTCTCGCTCATCCCCAACTAAATGTTTCGACTTGTCATTTTGATCATGAAGGTCAGTATAGCATTGAATATTTATACTACTTATTTTAGAGAGTTGTATAGATCCAAGATGAAACAACTGGGGGATGGAACTGTGAGAAAAAAGCTGCAATCACAAATCTGTCTGCTACTTCAGCACCACAGACAGCGCCATGGATTTATCAATACGCAGGACAGTTAGGCTGAGCCATGGTCGGGGCCATAGATTCTAACTTGCACAAACATCAGTCAGATAAAGGATCACTGAGTGAGACAGACTAGACTAACATATTCAACTAAACAACCCCTCTGCTTCTGCATTCTCTCTTCTACTAGTGGACAGAGAGGAGGGATGGCAGGTTAACAAGGGGCATCTCGCTACTTTAGTAGGATAGTAGAATTTGTTTTGGTACTTTCTTGGTATTAAAAAATATCTAGAACATCACTGGACTTCGGGACTCCTTTAAAGCTCAATTGGTTTTTGTTGTTGTTTTTCATCAAAAAAGGAGCAAAAAAAGTTGCCTTTGACGACTCTGACTGCAAGCAGAAACAATTTACAGTAAATAAAGTCCTCCCGCGATGTTGACAGCTGAGGAAATGCTTCCACTAATAGAAAGTGACAACGCAAATGGGGAGAAAATGGTAATGAGCTGCTGATTATGTGCCAAAGTAATTAAAGCAATTAAAAACAACAATAAATGGTTAAACTACAGTGGCTATAAAAAGTATTCACCTTGGACTTTTTCAGGTTTTCTTTTTTTTACCACATTGACAGTGAAAGAAAATACTGCACTGTGAAAAAGGTTAAAACTAAAACATAAATGACAACACTGCTTTTACTATGTCATAACTAAAGTACCACTTATAGACCTCCTGCAATGAAATTTTCTGTGACACTACGTCGGGAGGATTTTTAAAAAATTATCTGTATCTTGTTGAAATCCTGAAAAGCAGGAAATATTCATGAAAATACATTTTCTGTCACCCCATGAGTGACACAATGCATAATTCATTGAGAACAAATTAGGCTGAGCTGTATCATATAAAAAAGTAGTCAGCCCCCTTTTTATCTGTGATGAGACGTTGAGTGCCAGCGTCTGTGCGAGAATGAGTGGAAGAACGGAGGAGGAGCGAAAGGAAAGAGGTGATAGATTGAGGAGGAGGAGGAGGAGGAGGGAGAGAGTGAGACTCAGAGATAATGAGTGAGAGGAAGCCAACTGTTTGTTACGTTGCACAATATTTCACATCAATTAGTGCTGAAAGTCATGTGTGGCTCTGAGTAAATAAGATGTCCTTGTTTTGGGACCGTTTCCTCCCCCATTACGCTTCTCAAGGAGATTAAAACCAACCATGTGTCATTGTCACCTCCCCAGAGTTTGGATGTAAAAAGAACATAAAATGTTTTCACTGGAGTGTCTAGCTGCTCAATCTGATTTACAATACACTGCATGTCAGTCCTCATTCCTGCTTCGCTCTGTCTTCCTCGCTCTCCTTCCGCTAGCATGGGCAAACTCCAGCGTAGTGAAGCAGATACAGCCATGCCTTTGCTTTTTTTTTGACTGTAAATACAGATGGAGGTGTGTTTGACACAATGCATTATGTTTCAGTTCCCAGCAGTCTCACTATAATATTATTCTTCCATCACCAGTTTTCCCATATGCCTAACTTTTCGTTCCCACGGTTGGGCAGGCGTACTGATCTGACTCTGTGTGTCTATTATTATGATGTAGAAGTGTGCCCTGGCGAAGGCCCTGAGTAGATCATTAGTAAAAGGACAGAATTTCTCACAGAGCTGTAGAAAAAGTGTAGAGAAACAGAAAACATATCTCATTAATAATTCAATGAGGTAGAACATTATAAATAGTTCATGCAGTGTGGGGCAGTGAGAGAGCTGTGTTTGATTCCTCATGTCACATAAGGTCAGTGTGTGTCTTGATGCCAGTGTGTATACATGTGCATGTGTGTGAGAGGAGAAACATATACATAGTTTTACTGCAAGTGCCTGTTTGTAAGTGAGTTTGTGAATATCAGCAGTAGTGTTTGAGAGCTTAGAATCTGATTTATTAGGAAATAAAATACTGTTAAACTCACAAAAAAGTCTGCTTACTTTTTCAGAACATATATTTGATCCCTCATATCAAACATATTCTTTAACTTTTCTGGCAACTCAGAGCAGTTTTATTCCTACATTTACACTTGCCACTTCAGCCTAAATATGCCTTTTTAACTTCTAAGTAAGACTCTCTCTCGTCTACAGTATTATGGTGGATCAGACAAACTTCAGTTTAATATTAGCATATGTGTCAGCAAAGTAAAGTTCAGCTGTGGTCTATCCTGGCTCTGGTCCTTGGTCATAAAGATTTAGTTTTCCAGAAGCAATACAGAACTAAGGCCAGCATTTAAATAACTTGATACATCAACATATTTAATTACAAGTTACTCATTATTTTACATTCTGTCTGCTTTTTACCTACTCATTATGTCACCTTTACCAGCATGTAGTCGTTGCACCTTATATGATGAAGCCATAGACACAAACCCATAGGACACACATATATGCACACACACAAGCACGCTCTCACAGTCTCATTCTGTAATATGCTCAGCTGTGACAAAGCAATTACAGTCAGAGACTGTGCAGAGAGAGACCTTTTAACAGTCCGTAACACTGTCTGCAGCAACTACATATTGACTCACTTTTATGTGCCTAGAACACAAAGTGCAGTAAACTGTGCACATGATGAAATGTTCAGAATGAGAAATTGCTGATATGGAATTGTGTGGCACAAACTTTACCCTTTAAAAACTATGTTTCATTTTGAAACATGATGTTGAGTCAGCTGAGGAATCGCTCATATCCAACAGCAACTGAGAGCTAAACACAGATAAAATCTATACCTTGAATTATAGAAATTCTTGATGGTAATTCTATGAATTAAAATGTTTCCATTCAGGAATACAAATTGCCCGACAGACTACAGTGCCCTTGAGGACACACCCGACATAGAGTCAACATATGTAGAACATGTAGTATTTGTGTGTCACAGCTCCGCAGGAACACAGTTGGTGCTCTCACACAGAGCCACAGTATAGATGAACATGTCATTCTCATTCTCAAACATACTGGAAGTGTTTTCTGAAGGTTGGCACCAGCCTG